TATATATATAGAAGTAACAAAAATAGAACGATATTTATGTTGACTTGTGTTAAATGGAAAACATTGCTAATCAGTGAAATTTCGTACCTGTTCAGGAATTTTCCCCTTCCCTTATGCATCACATAGAAATACTCTGTTCCTGTTAATAATACTATCTCAAATGGAATCAATCATCTCTATACGTAAAGAAAAGGAAAAACGCTTACTTATCCGAGCTCAAAATTTCATCATTTCTGATGTACATACAGTATAAGTAACGTGAACTATAGATTTTCTTGTCAAACGTCCATCCAGGAGAAATAAAAAGAAATAGAATTTCAGTTAGTTGGTATATATGTAATTGATATCGTGTCGGTGAGTATTCACTTTCGTCGTGCCAGTATAGTGTATACCTTCGAACAAGCGATTACAGTGATCATATTATCTGTGTTTAACATTAGCAAACAACAAGGATGTAATGATTGTGTCACACCGTGTCATTTGCATCGCTTGTGAAAGGCACACATAAACTACTTTTATGTGTTTTATATTTGAATATCATATATCGTTAATCGTTAGTATTCTCTGTAAAATATGTTTAGAGATTTTTGAAGTATGTATTATTTTCATTCTTTATAATATATGTATATTTTATATAATATATATTGTGACTCGTATTCAGAATACGTTTTTATGGTGTTAACGTGTATTTAACATATACCCAGTGAAAAATGATCGTTAAATTGACCGACATTGATTTCACTTACTTCTTGCTGAATATTTCACATTATATATACCATAGAATTTCAGACATTTAAAATTGCACATTTATCGATAGATAAAAGTGCGTTCTGAATACTGAGCTATAAATTATAAGCTATAATTATAATTTTAAAAATATATTTTATATAGTAATGTATGAAATATTTATTATATATGTATATACATGTGTATATACATATATAATATGTGTGTGCGCGCATACATGCCGCGTGTATGTGTAAAATACATTTTCTGAATATTTTCTTATCAATTTTATCAAAATTCATATAGATATATGATTAGATTACTTTTTGTTGTTGCAGTGACCTGCATTGTGCAACAAGTGGAACATCAAGCCTATAATTACAAGGACTTTCTAAATAGAAATTGTACCGTAGAGATTCTCTTTCTAAACACAATTCGCGTTAGACGTACAGTTGCCTGCACTCTTTAAACGTTGAAGCACAAACTAAGAAATGGATACAAATTTTATGCGCCACTTTTTCATCTTTAACTCAGTGAATATAATATTAATGTCATTATCATTCAATTTCCTGGAATCTTATTTACCTACATTGATAAAACGTGCCTTTCTGTACGGCAAATTTAGTGTAAAGACGCCTCACACAATAACAGCAAAACTCGAAGTGCCCAAAAGGTAAACTAAAATCTTACTTATATTTTTTCACAAAGATTTAATGTACTGTAATTTAACAATAATTTATTAAAAATATATTATATAGTACACATTATTTTAAAGATATTTTTTTTAATGTACATATTATATAGTCTTTTATCTAATACTCAAATTGTAATTATTAAAAAAATTTTTGTAGATGGTTTAAACATTTTTACATGTTTTGTGCACCATTCATGACTATTACTCTTTGCTTACTTTCCTGCAAATATCTCTATAATATAAATATACCTGAAATTGTGTTTACATTGTTAGACACATTATTAGGAACATCCAGAAAATCATTAAGTATGTCCTTCTTAAATATTTTTTTGAATATACATATTTACTAAGAATGTCATTAATTCTATATTTATATAGATATATATAGATAATTATTTTTTTAGTACCAGCAGAAGATGCATTTCTGGCTATTGTCGTATTTAACATACATTGTTGGAAGAGATTTTATGAGTCATGTTTCATTAATGTATATAGTAATCAAAGAATGCATATATTTGTTTATTTCATCGGATTTGCGCATTATATCGGAATAATTCTGTCTATATTAGGCGAATCTGAAGGGTTTGTTAAAGGTAATTTAAAACAATTTACAAATTTATATTAATTTACTTCTTTCTGGTTACTTAAGAAAGTAGTCCATGTATAATTATATATGAACAATATATTTTTATATATAGAGTAACTAAAAAAATTTCGAAATGGTAATAATAATCTGGTAAAAATATCTGAAAAACAAAGGATTTTTGTATGAAATATTTTTCTCAATATACTTGTTTTCAAGATATTTTACTGATCCAAGATTTTCTAACTCTGTATGTGTATATGTAAATACATATATCAGAGTTGGATAACTGGTTAGAAAATTACAAATTAAATAATAAAGTTAAAGTAATAATTTATCAACTATAGTTATTTTAAACTATTATATATTATATATATTTAAACTATTATATATACTAACTATTATATAATTATTATAATGTAACTATTATGTAACTATTATATAGTATTAACTTATTAACTTCTGTAAGAATTAAAATTTGTTTCATTGAATCTAAAAATGCTAATATTTTTTAATAAATGTTATTATAAATAAAAGAAAACAAAATATTTTCTTCTAGAAAATTTTACTTTGTTATTTCAAATAAACTT